TTGTTATATATATATACATACATACATATACAGACACACACGAGGCTGCACAGGTCCATCGATTTTGCCCAATGTGATTTATATCAGAAATATAAGAATAAAAAAAGCTCCAGAAATCAAAGGAAATCAGTTTTCACCAACAAAAACATGACGAGGATGAGAGGAAGTGCACAGGACATGTCCTGCTTTTTTCTAAAGCGAAGGTAGGGTAATATTTATAGCTACATTTTTAAACATTTAACCAAGAATGTAAAATCTTTAGCATTTGTAAAGGCACACTGTAGCTTTATTAGTAGGTACAGGCAATATTGTTAAAAAAAAATTTAAACCTTAGAAATCATTGGAACTCAGTGCTGTAATGGTTGAAAACACCCCAACTTCTACCTGCTGAAAACCGTACTTTGTTTACAACAAAATTAAAATCCAGTACGTTTTACTCTCAATTTAGCAACTTAGCTAATAAAATGTTAAAATAAAAAAAATGCAACCTCAAGTACTGATACTGGAGCTAAACCCAAATTATTAATGTTTTTGTATTTTTTTACACGTGTAATGTTTAAATGTTCTTCCAGTAAAGAGACATCCCAACGCATTTTAATTCTGATATGAAACTGATCACTATGGTAACGGCGTAGCGCGTGGTCACGCAAACTTCTGTAAAGCTGACATCAGGCAAAGGGTAGACCGTCTCATTTCACAATAGCCTGCAGAGAATGTGGCCCAGCTCATGAATTGAGACACAGCCTGTGTTTTTTTAGGTCAGCTGGTTGTGGTAGCTACTTTGAATGGGATTAACTCCAAAGATTAACCACAGGTAGAGGTGCATTCAATGATTATTTTCTGAAAATGCCATTAAAATTTCTTCAGTGGTTCTTGAGACACATTGCAAGCAGACAGACATAGACACAAGAGCAAAAACATAATGACATGTCCCCCATTACTTTATACCTGGCCTCAAAGCCCATGTCAAGCAGTTTATCGGCCTCATCAAGAACCAGAACATCCAGACTCCGGACAGCACTAGCCAAGTCTAGACCGTCAGATTTCCTTCTGAACATGTCCTCCAGACGACCGGGTGTGGCAATCACAATGTTCCCCCTGGAATCATAGATCAGCATGAGTCACCATCTTCTTTTATATATAGTTGAAACCAGAAGTTTATATACACTATATAAAAAGACACATATTTCATTTTTCACACTTTGACGTGAAATCAGAATAAACTTCCCATTTTAGGTCAATGAAGATTGACAAAATTTCTTCTATTTACTAAATGCCAGAATATTAAGGATTTTTAAGGCACTTTTTATTACATTCTTCAAAGCCAGAAGTTTAAATACACTAAAGCCTGAAACATACTCCCTCCGAACTGCCGACGTCAGCACGGRTTGTCGCGGTTTAATGACGAAAATTACGTCACCGGGGCTTCGCAGCATCGTGTCGACAGCCCCTTTTGGCACAACCCACCGGCAGAACTTTTGACCCCACTCCCGTGTCGACGGTAATGTGTGATTGGTCTGAAGTTTGTGGGCATGTTTGTTTGTGCTGAAGCGCTCGGACACTCAAAAGAAAAAAACTTGCTTCTGACTAGAGCAGACTGTTGAAGCAGAGTTTTATAAAGATGGTCAAACAGAGAAAAACTCATGCGTGTTTGTGCTGAAAGCGCTATGTGCTGCATTTACTTCAACCACTTGGTAAAAAAAAGGAAAAAAAACAAATCGCTCCCAGAGCCGACTGTTACCAGGAAGCAGAGCTTTGTAAAGATAGTCAAACCGTGAAAAATTCATGAATGGAGATTAAACAGACGTGCACGGAGGAATCTGACTGATAAAAACTGTGGAGCTAAACCAGGACAGATGTGGATAAATACGTCGGGTGAGTGACTAGTCTTTTGTTCTGCATTGTCGGCTGTTGCAGGGAGAAATTCCATGCAGTGACGTATGTTTCAGCGGGAGGGGGGTTTCCTGAGCTCGGCGCGGGGTGTCTCAGGGACTATGAAAGGTCTGTGCGAAAACGACTGCCCAACAACCACGTGACCGCGCGTCGACCAGTCGACAAAATGGTCCACAGCTAAAGCTAGCCAGCTGCCTTCTCAGGTTTATATCTCAAAAAGTACTGAATGGATTTATGTGAAACTTTCAGGAAATGTTTATTACTTGTAGTGGTCACCTAGGTGTGGAAGAAACGTTCCACCTGTCTTTGACATTGACCTCTGAAGGTCTCCTTTAAAGAATCTGTTCGAATTATAGTCATATGTTTTCTTAAACAGTAAAGAGACATTTTATTTCATTTTATTTTCTTTAATCAAGATAAT